TAAAATCTTTTAAAAAGAAAAGAAAAGGGTCAGCATAATAAAACAGACCAGCACCAAGGCACATCATTTTGAAATTTCAAAACACTGAGAATTAAGAAAAGATCTTAGCTTTCTGACCCCTGCCTACTTCTCCTCCCCCCAAAAGCCACAGACCTAGGAAAAATGGCCTTGGATTTATAATCATTGGAAGTGTTCATCTGTTAGAAGTAGGTGCTAGAAAAGAAAAAGTGGTTGCCATTTAGGAGGATGGAGAGGTCAGAATTAGAGCAGGAAGCTGCTATTTTTTCCAACCTGTTCGTACTATTTTATTTTTTTTAACAACATGCATACATTACTTCAACACAATTTTTTTAACAATATTGTCTCTTGAGGGACATCTTTTTCTTTTGTTCAGAGATTTTATTTTATTTTTTAAAGATTTTATTTATTTATTTGACAGAGAGAGCACAAGCTGGGGAAGCAGGAGAGGGAAAGGGAGCCTGATGCAGGGCTGGATCCCAGGACCCTAGGATCATGATCTGAGCCCAAGGCAGTTGCTTAACCAACTGAGCCACCCAGGCGCCCCTGTTCAAAGATTTTAAAGAGAAATTTTCTGGGATGCCTGGGTGGCTCAGTTGGTTAAGCGTCTACCTTCAGCTCAGGTCATGATCCCAGGGTCCTGGGATCAAGTCCCACATCGGGCTCCCTGCTCAGCAGGGAGCCTGCTTCTCCCTCTGCCTGCAGCTCGCTCTCTCTTGCTCTTGCTCACTCTGATGAATAAATAAGTAAAATCTTTTAAAAAAAATAAAAAATAAAGAAATTTTATAATATAACTATTCAAAAATGAACTAAACTGCCTATCATTTCAAGTATTCATAAATAGCCTAATAGCCATTAGTCAGGGGTGCTTTAGAGATGGTGGGGGATTGGAATAAGTGATGTGTAAGTTCCTTACTATCGCTTTAGCTTCTTGATTTTAAGCCTTTGTCCTTTTTCACACTAGTACCATTTATTCCTGCCCTTCTTCACAAATCCTGGAATGTTCTCTCCTATTTAATTATATCTTTTTTCTTTTTCTTTTTTAAAGATTGTATTTATTTACTTATTTGAGAGAGTGTGAGCACGAGCAGGGGGAGTGCGGGCAGAGGGAGAGGCAGAGAATCTCAAGCCGACTCCACACAGAGCATGGAGCCCGACTCGGGGCTCAGTCTCATGACCCTGAGATCATGACCTAAGTGGAAACCAAGAGTTGGATGCTTAACCGACTGAGCCACCCAGGCGCCCCTAATTATATCTTTTCTCTAAGACCCACTTCACAGCCACCTCAGTCAACATTGACTGGTGGATTCTTTGGCCTTATAATTATCCATATGCCTCTTTGGTCTTTTAATTATATATTGTTTTCTATTACTGCATTTAGGACTTGTTTTTCCAGTTCATTTAACAACTTCTTAAAACCAAAAAGTTTGGCTTATACTTTTTTAGAATTTAGCAGAGTACTTAATATATAATAGGTAGTTAGTAAATATTTAAGTAATTGTTGAATGCCTATTACATATTCCACAGTGGTGAAGTAAACATATAGACCTTTATGCAAGGAGCTTAGAATCTTGAATTAAAGGTTCAAAGTATTATGTGGCTGATCCCAAACTAAACTATTTCCTTGGTATACATTTTATATTATTGTAAGGAAATTCATATATAAAAGTTTAGGGCAAAATATAATGTACTTTCATAATTGCCACAGTTCAGATACTCTCATCCTTAATATCCTCATCAAGATTCCTTTTCTAGTCCCAAGTACATCAGATAATGTTTATTAAAAAAATTTTTTTTTAATTTTATGTATTTATTGCAAGAGAGAGCATAAGCAGGGGAAGAGGGAGAAGGAGAAGCAGGCTCCCCGCCGAGTAGGGAGCCTGATACGGGGCTCCATCTCAGGACCTCAGGATCATGACCTGAGCCGAAAGCAGACGCTTAACCAATCTAAGATACCCAGGCACCCCTTAAAAATTTTTTTAAGTATAATTTCTTTTTTTATTCTTTTGAACGAACTATTACGAGGACTATTCCATGCAGATATAGCACACTACCGAAATCCAAATCTCATCTTGTTCTCAGGTTTTCTCTCCTATTGGGTATTATAGATTGTGTAATTAAATAGATAATTAAGATTGTGTATTCAAAATTTTGTTTGTACATTTTAAAATTTTTATATAAGGCAAAGAATACCTATACTTAAGGCGCTATGACTATAAACTTCTGATTGTCTCCAGGTAGAATCGCCCTAACTTCACATTTTTAATGTTTGCTCTGGTGGTAAAACTATTTATTACTGAAGCCACAATTTCTAAAGAAAAGAATATTGTATGAGACTTAACAAAGAGCAATAGATTTGGTTGGTCTAATACTAGAAAGGCTGACTACTAAAGTAGGTATATACATGTGGTTTGGATACTTTCTTTTTTTTTTTGGAAAGATTTTATTTATTTATTTGAGAGAGAGAGAGAATGAGAGATAGAAAGCACGAGAGGGAAGAGGGTTAGAGGGAGAAGCCGACTCCCTGCTGAGCAGGAAGCCCGATGTGGGACTCGATCCCAGGACTCCAGGATCATGACCTGAGCCGAAGGCAGTCGCTTAACCAACTGAGCCACCCAGGCGCCCGTGGTTTGGATATTTTCAAGCACCACTGTCTTAATACACTAGCCACATATGGCTATTAAGCACTTGAAATGTGGCTAGTATAAACAAGGAACTGATTTTTTTAATTTAATTTTAATTAATTTAAATTTTAAAACTGATAGGGGTGCCTGGCTGGATCAGTTGGTGGAACATGCAACTCTTGACCTCAGAGTTATGAGTTCAAGTCCCACGTTGGGTATAGAGATTACTTAAAATCTTAAGGGGTATCTCTCTAAAATAAATAAATAAATCTCTTTAAAAATATTTAAAAAAATTTTTTTAAATAGGGGCACCTGGGTGGCTCAGTCATTAAGCGTCTGCCTTCGGCTCAGGTCATGATCCCAGGGTCCTGGGATCGAGCCCCATATCGGGCTCCCTGCTCTGCAGGAAGCCTGCTTCTCCCTCTCCCATTTCCCCTGCTTGGTGTTCCCTCTCTCGCTGTGTCTCTTTCTGTCAAATAAATAAATAAAATCTTTAAAAAAAAAAGATTCGTTTAAAAAAAATTTTTTTAATAAATTTTAAAACTGATATTTGATTCAATTATTGGAGAACTTTAAATATGTTTGGGAAATTTGGGTATATGAGCCTACCTTTACACTGTCTATTTTATAACCCAAATCTAAATATAGATCAAGTATTTCTCATGATAATGTATCATTTAAATTGAAATGTATTTTAAGTACAAAATGCTAGATTTCAAAGACTTAGTATGAAAGAGAATGTAAAATATTTCAGTTTTTATTATGTGTTAATGATATTTTAGATGTACTGGATTAAATAAAATACTAAAATTAATTTTACCTTTTTAATGTGGCTATTAGAGTATTTATTTATTTATTTTAAGGTTTTATTTATGTATTTGACGGAGAGAGAGAGCACAAGCAGGGGGAGCAGCAGGCAGAGGCAGAGGGAGAAGCAGGCTTCCTGCTGAACAGGAAACCTGATGTGGGGCTCAATCCCAGGACTCTGGAATCATGACCTGAGTGGAAGGCAGATGTTTAACCGACTGAGCCACACAGGCGCCCTGCTACTACAGTATTTAAACCACACATTTCTCATTATATTGGACAGTACTGTTCTAGATAATTCTTTTTATTGTTGGTGTTGTTCTAGAAAATTCTTTAAAGAAACTTAAAATTATACTATCATGTTATTTTTGCTTCCAAAATGCTAATTCTAATGCATGGCCTTCATAATTTAGATTATAAGAAGACCAGTCTAGCTCCTTATATAAAAGTTTTTGAACAGTTTCTTGAAAACCTGGATAAATCCCGAAAAGGAGAACTTCTCAAGAAGAGTGGTAAGACTCTATACCTTTCCCTTTTAGCTACTTAGATCTTAGTGTGGGCAGTTTAAAGCATCCAGCAAGTGAGTAATTTTAGAGCCTAGCCTTTGCCCTACTAAAAGAAGTATTGATTTAGCTTACTATCCTAGTATTTTAAAACTAGTATTTTAAAAATGAGCTCCCTTAATTCAATTCAACAGATACTCATTAAACACCTTCTGTGTATCAGGTACTATGATGGAAACAAAGATTAATTATACAAAAATGAATTCGACACCATGCCCCCCTGCCCTTAGGAAGTACTAACTGATACAAAACAAAGAAGTATAAAGTGCTAAGAAAGAGATCTATCTGATTGAGAGAACCTGAGAAGATTTCTTATGAAAAAAGTGGTATATGAACTCCTTACAGTGAGCTGCTATACAGATTCTAATTCCCAGTGCCAATATACCATACCTTGAGGTATGCGTAGGATTTCCACAAGCAGAGATATGATAGGGTACAGGAATGGAAAAAGGGGACAGATTGTTCCTTCTTGAAGGAATGGCAGAGGCAAAGGCATTAGACAGGAAAGCATCAGGTCACTCTGGAGGTCATAAGTAATACAGTTTATCTGGGAAAAAGATGTGTCAGGAAGTGATGTGATAGAAATCTGAAGAAGCAGACTGAAGCCAGAGTATAAATGGCCTTGAATTCTAGTCTTGAGACTTTGGGCTTAATGCAGTAGGGACAGGGAATCTATTAAAGGTTTTTGAGGAAGAGAGTACCATGATTTATAGTTTTATCTAGCAAAATAAAACTAGCAACAATGTATCTGGGGAGAGGTAGGGGATAAAATAGAGCCTAAGAGGCCAGTTGGGCTATTACCATTGGGACACTAGTACTGGATATCTCCAAAAGGTGCAAATACTAGAGCCATCCTTGAGAGTTGGTAATGATTTGGAAGTGGAGAGATGAAAGAGGAAAATAAAAGTGTCACAGAAGCCAAGGGAAAAGAAACTTTCAAGGAGATTATCAAGTGTCAAATGCCATAGAGAACTGATAAAATCCTGTTGGATATTGGAACTAAAGGGAGATACTAAGAGCACAGCAGTGTCAAAGGAAAAGTTCTTTGAATAGGAGAGACCCGAACATATGTGTAAGCCAAAATGAAAGAAATCAGCAGTGAATATTATTCAGGAGATTGATGCATACCAGAGAAAACTGTAGTAGAGTTATAGAAATACAAACTTCCTTTCCACTTTATTTTTTAATAATATGCACGATGGTTAAAGAGTAGCGCCCAAGATAATGCTGAACTCATAGTAGACATTCAGATATGTGCTTACTGAATGAACAATGATGACTCTGAACTTGGAAAGCCTCAATGAACCTGCCATTCCAACTGGCTATATTAAGTCCTTTGTATTCTTGTTCTGTAGTAGCTCAGCCTATAATGCAGGCTTCAGCAAATGTGAAAGCAAATCTTTATGCATGATGTGAATTTAATAGAAGCATTAAGCAAATCAGAATGTGAAAATAAATGGGATTTGTCGTTTTCCTTTACTATCCCTTTGACAAGAATCTCTTCTGTTCCAGATTTACAGAAAGACTTTTGAAGATAACAGCTCTCCTCAAACCAATGTAGATGTCTTCTGGCTTCAAGAATCAAATACTTCAGGTGCCTGGGTGGCTGAATCGGTTGGGTGTCTGCCTTCGGCTCAGGTCATGATCCCAGGGTCCTGAGATCGAGTTCCGCAGCAAGCTCCCTGCTCAGCAGGGAGTCGGCTTCTCCCTCTCCCTCTGCCCCTCCCCCCTGCTCATGCTCTCTCTCTCTCTTTCAATCAATAAATAAAAATTCTTAAAAAAAATCAAATACTTCAAGAGCCATTTAATAAATATTATAGAACCATAATGTGTCTTAATGCTCAAAGCAAAATTTCCTTTTCTTGAAAAATTATGTTAAAAAGATTCCTGAGGCCACCAAAGGAGAGTGTCCAGGTTTCTGGAAGGAGCAATAATGGGAGGAACAAGTGAATTGTAGATACATATTGTAAAAGTTAATATTATACTAAGATTTTTGATATACCTTTTACCAGTTGCCATATGTATCTTTATATACTTTTACCAGTTGCCATATGTAGAGGCAAGTGAGCAGTAATATGCCCAAGACTTTAATCTCCGCTCACTAGATATAGCCTCCTTATTTCTAGACTGAATATTGTAGGTGCATGAGAGCTTTATCCTTAAGTCTTAGACAATTATACCTGGAGTATGTATTCTGTCACTTCTAATTTTGCTTACTGATATTTTTATTGGTCAGGCCACACCCCACTGCCTATCTTTTAAAAATCATTTTAAACTGGGCATCTAAACATACCAAAACTTGAGTTCAAAAGATATGACTTACTAGATTACAATAGGGGTTGGTAGAGTGTTTTTTACAACTGTTGCATTTGTAGCTCCTGACTTCCTTCCTCAGAAAAAAATTGGATTAGTCTGCACCATAAACAACTTAGAATAACAAATTTCACCAACATAAAATCTGTTTTAGTTGTCAAAAGACTTCCCTTTCTACATATCCAGATACTTAATTGTAAAGGTTTTGTTTCTTCCATAGTTGATTTTTTTTTTGAAAGTGTCAGATTTCTCTTGCCTAGTTTTACAACCAGTCTAAACAAAATAGCCATTCTGGATTACAGTCCATCTTCTGAGAAACACTGAGAAGTCAAGCTATCAGGCTGGTGCTTTCTGTGATTTATGAAAATTTTCCTTCCTGGGGCGCCTGGGTGGCTCAATCGTTAAGCATCTGCCTTCGGCTCAGGTCAGGATCCCGGGTCCTGGGATCGAGCCCTGCATCGGGCTCCCTGCTCAGCAGGAAGCCTGCTTCTCCCTCTTCCACTCCCCCTGCTTGTGTTCCCTCTCTCGCTGTGTCTCTGTCAAATAAAGAAATAAAATCTTAAAAAAAAAAAATTTTTCCTTCCTTTGCATTTCCTTTAACATTGCTTTCTCTATAGCCACACATTTTTTTTAATCTTTTGGTTTATATATATAAAACACTTTACAATGTGGTCAACACACTGCAATGCCTTGCATTTCCTTCTCTTTTCTAATTTTTTAAGAAAAAATATTAAAGACCATTGTGCAAAATTCCTCATTTGAGCCTCTATTTACTGTGTATTGTTCAGTTTTTAGGTTAGGAAAACAGTGAGCCAGTTAAAATTCCTGAATACAAAATTACTAAAGACTCAGTCCATCTCGGGCGCCTGGGTGGCTCAGTCGTTAAGCATCTGCCTTCGGCTCAGGTCATGATCCCAGGGTCCTGGGATCGAGTCCCACATCGGGCTCCCTGCTCGGCAGGAAGCCTGCTTCTCCCCCTCCCACTCCCCCTTCTTGTGTTCCTGCTCTGTCTCTCTCTCTGTCAAATAAATAAATAAAATCTTAAAAAAAAAAAAAAAGACTCAGTCCATCTTAAGAACTCAGAACGAGAGTATAAAGACTGGCATTATGCTTTCAAAAACAAATGTTTCAAGCTTCCAATATGTCTACCATTAAGGTATCTTAATGCTTTAATATTAAAGCTCTTGGATAAAGTTGAACATATTGTACTCATGTAAAAGAAATGTTTTTGCACTGTATGCTAACTGGAATTTAAATAAAAATTTAAAGAATTAAAAAAGTAATTAAGTCCTTTTTTTTTTTCAAAATAAATGTTTGGTTCTTGAAGATAGCAGAAACATGCTCAAAAACTATTGACTTCCCTATTCTCTGATTTTACCAACTCATCCATATATGAGAATTGTAGAAACAAAGGGCACAGAACTGACTTCCATCTCCAGACTTGCCCAATTTATAAAGAAATCCAAAGAAAGAAAATAATGCTTCCTTAGTCATTAGCAACAGAGAGGAGTCAGTGGCTTGATGGAAAAGAAAGTGAAATGGTCAAAATAGCTTTATTTGTCTAAGAAGATGATTGGCTATTGCTGGCCCTTTCTTCTGAAGGTAAATGGACTGTGCTGACAAATCTTCCAGATCACATATTTACTTAGAAAAAATAATAGTAAGCACTTTTTAAGTAATGTACATATAGTACCTAATTTTCCTAACAATCCTATGAAGTAGCTACTATATCCCCATTTTTTAGATGAGGAAACTGAGCACAAACAGTTTAATTAAATTGCCCAAGGTCACTATGAGGTGACTAAGCTGTGATTCGGGGTACAGCTACAGAGTTGATGTTTATATATATATATATTTAACTTTATTTCAGTAATCTCTGTACCCAGCATGGGGCTTGAACTCATGAACCTGAGATCAAGAGGTGTATGCTCTTCCAACTGAGCCAGCCAGGCACCCCTACATAGTTCATGTTCTTAATCATTCCACAATATTGCCTCCCCTATCTGAAAAAAATTTCAGAATTTCTCATTGCTGGTAAACTCCACTATTTAATTTAATCCTAATTTATTAATCCTCACTTCACAAGTAGTTTTCAGAGCATAACGTCACTGCTTCCCTTAAAAGGCAGCCACAATTGTCCTAAAGACTTTAGCTTAGGGTGCCTGGGTGGCTCAGTTGGTTAAGCGACTGCCTTTGGCTCAGGTCATGATGCTGGAGTCCTGGGATCGAGTCCCGCATCGGGCTCCCTGCTCAGCGGAGTCTGCTTCTCCCTCTGACCCTCCCCCCTCTCATGTGCTCTCTCTCTAATTCTCTCTCTCAAATAAAATCTTTAAAAAAAAAAATGATGGAGATGCATTTGAAATCTAAAAAAAAAAAAAAGACTTTAGCTCAAATAGTGCTAGCTGATTTAGGTAATGTATTTGTTGAGTCCTTTTATAGGGCTGAGAGAGGGCACAGGGATCAGGACCCATGGCTTTTCATTAACAAAACATTGAATTTACATTCTACTTTCAGGAATCTTAACTGTGTAAAGCATGAGTTCTTAACGTGGGGGCTGGGACTACTAGAATGGATGAGTTTCAGGATATCTATTTGCCCAAAACAGCAGGCAAAAAGAATTGTATATGTGCCTATGTTCTTTTTTCTGAGGAGTGTAATCTAATAGTTTCAACATCGGTCTAAATTGTGTATTCCAAAAATAAAATAATTGAGAGTTAACCTAAGTCACTGCTACCTTACAATGATGTGACTACAATCTGCGGCGTTAGATATTATTTCGTTTCTCCTATTTCCCTGCATTAGTTGAAAAAGGGAAATCAAAAAGTCACTCTAATACCGCTGTGGCTACTTTACTGACCAGAGGACAGAGGTTGCTTCTCTCATTACAATTTCCCTTCGGGTATCAAAAATGCCTCGACTTAGGGGCCTGGGTGGCTCAGTCCCTAAGCGTCTGCCTTCGGCTCAGGTCATGGTCCCAGGGTCCTGGGATCGAGGCCCCATCGGGCTCCCTGCTCGGCGGGAAGCCTGCTTCTCCCTCTCCCACTCCCCCTGCTAGTGTTCCTTCTCTCGCTTTGCCTCTCTCTGTCAAATAAATAAATAAAATCTTAAAAAAAGGGGGGGGCACCTGGGTGGCTCAGTCGTTAAGCGTCTGCTTCCGCTCAGGTCATGATCCCAGGGTCCTGGGATCGAGCCCCGCATCAGGCGCCCTGCTCCTCGGGAAGCCTGCTTCTCCCTTTCCCACTCCCCCAGCTTGTGTTCCCTCTCTCACTGTGTCTCTCTCTGTTGAATAAATAAAATCTTTAAAAAATAAAAAAATAAATGCCTCGACTTAGGGGACGGGAAAGGGTCGGCTATCTAGGGAGTGAGCTGAGGTTCCTGCCAGGCCAGCGCGTCCTGTTCTGAATTCTTACCCTTATTTAGACCTCGTCACCACCCCCGTCCGGGAACAACAGGACGGGTCACTTGTTAAAGGAAGTGACTGCCGGCAGCTCCTGACCCGGAATCAGATCCTGGTCCCGCCCCCTCCGCCAGGCTTCCTTCTGCAACAGGCGTGGGTCACGCTCTCGCTCGCTCTCTTTCTGCCGCCATCTTGGTTCCGCGTTCCCCTCACAGTAAGTCTTATCTTTGCCGCTAGTCTTTATCCGCAGCCATCCGCCTTCCTTGCGGACTAAGCCGCCCCAGAGACTGAGAGCTAAGGGAAGTTGGAGGCTTTATGGGACTACCGGGTTCCCGCTCGGCCCTGGGAAGTGTGGCCTTGGGCCTCCCGACAAAATGGGGTCTGCAGTGGATGTCCTGGCAAAAGCAGGGCAGAAAGGCCGCGTGCGGGGCCTGGAGGCCAGGACTGGGGAGATAGAGCCGTTGCGGTGCGGGGGGGCGGAAGCGGAGTGCGTCTCCTGTTGGGAACGGCTTCACGAGAATCCAAAGGAGGTTAAGAGGGTCACAGCCTTGGAACAGCTACCCCCCACACACACAAACACGCTGTTCTTAATTGTGACAAGCGAGTGTTGGGACTTAAGGCACCGTCTACCCTCTCCTGGTTCCCGAAAGTCGGCAAACGGGAGACCTGGTGGTCCCAGCGCAGGCGGCGTGAGTGTAGGAGAGGAGGTGGTGGGGAGGTGGTGCAAGGTAGCGTTTGAATTCGCCCGTGGTCGGGAGCCAGACCGGAATCCTCTCCCTCGGTTTGAGAACGCAGTGGTGATTGTTGCCGTTGTGGGATTTGGAGTGTAGAGTGAAAGGAACCCCTGGGCACTAGAAGTCTGTTCTCTGCGGAGTAAAGAGAGGTAGAAGGTGATTCGCTTGATCAGAGATCTGAGGGTCACGTCTTATTTCTTACCTATTCCCAGCTGCTTTGGGGAGGATTGTCCCGAAACACCCTCACGATTTTTTTTTTTTTCTTAACAGCAGAGTTTTTAAGAATATTTGACTCTGGGTTGGGCAGCAGAACGGATCCCAGTCAATTCAGGCCTCCTTTTTATTCCCTTCAGAAATGCCTGGTGAAGCCACAGAAACCGTCCCTGCTACAGAGCAGGAGTTGCCACAGCCCCAGGCTGAGACAGGTAGGTTCCCCTAGCCTCCTTACTGTTCATTAAAATTGTAAGACTGACCCTAAGACCATTTGGTGGGTTAAAATGGCAAAGGGAATACACTCCGGTTTTTCAGAGTTAACTCATTATAAAGATGGCTGTAGCTTTACCAGGGAGGAGAATCCATGATATTAACTGCCGTTCTGGAGGGACTTCATTAGAGGATGGAATATAAACAGTATATTTAAGATCCAGGAGCATAAAAAGCTCCCAGGCTTGCTTTGTAGGCTATGGCAGCTGCCTCACAGGGCATTCTGTGGAGCCCTCACCACACACAAAAACTGAGCAGGGAAGGGGCTTGGTGATTCTTACCTATTGGAACTGGATGACACACTTGCAGGCCAAGGAGACCTGAGCTTTTGTGAAGTTCCAGCCAGCAAGTTGCATCAAGGTTTTAGATGGCAGAGCTTGGCATTGTGCCTTCATCACATGTCTGGATGAGATGTGTGCTGGTGGTAAATGTGTCCTACTGGGCCCCAGGGCCCTCCTAGGTTGGTTAACTTATTTTATGGGTTGGTGCTAAGATGTTTCTAGTGTGCTGGAATAGTGCCTGCATCAGCAGCTTGCCTGGAACCCAAGATTGAAATAGAGCTTTCCTTTGACTGTTCTTCAGCTTTGAAATTGATGGATATAAATATAGTGTAAAGGCAAGTTTTGAATTCTGGTTAAAATACTTCTCTAGAAAACTTAAGAGGGGGTAGTGAAAAAATATTTAATGATGTTCTTCTTGCTGCACCAGTTGTGCTAAAATAAATGAAGGGAATCTTCAGACTGTAACTTCCATCATCACTTTTTCTTATTATAAATTATTTTTTTAACTCCACCTGTCACTTAAGGGCAATTCTTTTCCCCTTCTGGAATTAAAATAGAGTTGTTTATAGTTGAAAGCATTGAGGTTCTCTCTCCCCACCTGTCTGATTTTAGCAGCTGAAGGGATTAATACAGCTGCTAGAAAAGAAAAAGGAGGGGGCCTCTAAGCTAGTGAACAAGCTATATGAGATCCTTGAAGTACAAGGGACTTAATGGAAGGAAAAGTAAAGGACTGGTCTCTAAAGATCCAGTGCTAACCAAAACCTTATTGAACAATTTGATTTTACAAATGTGGAGACTGAAATAAAGATGAATTTAGAATAATCTGGTTTCAAGCTTCATGCCATTTCCTTCTGAAGTCATCCTGGAGTGCTGTTAAGCTTATTTCTGAATAGTTTGAGCTTGCACGTAGGTTTACTAATACTAAGGGAGTGCCAGTGGTAAAACTCTGAATTTTTTCTATAACTGTAACTAAGTAATTATTATAACGAATGCAAAAACTAGCCCAAGGAACTGGTTATGGTGTCTAAAGCAAGTAAATTGGGCCTTATCCCCTCTTGAAGTCCAGTCAGAGGAAAACATTCTAAATTTCAAATTCTGATTTATATGTTTGGAGGCATTTGCACTGTAGTCATAAGACTTTGACCTACCAACTCTCCAGGAAAAACTGGTTGAGCCACCTGTCCTTTCTGTAGTAGGATACTGTAACAATTTTAGAATTACTGGTTGAATAAATTGTGAATTTGTATCATTCAGAAAACCTTTTACTGAGCTTTACTCTAGTGCTGAGCATTGGTCTATTTTGGCAGAATGACATACTTATCCAGATTAAGGGGTGGAGAGCCAGTGTATTCTCCACTCTAGTTCCCTACTTCCAAAATAGAACCACAGTCTGGTTTAACAAGTTGGGCTACAGTTTCATAATACAACCCCTACCCTTGTGACTAAGCTCTCTCCCTGGCAGTCTAATTCATCTTAAGTTGATATCTGAAGAGCTAACAATACCTAGTAAGGTGTATAGACATTATGAAGTACAACCCATTTGTGGTTGGTTTTTTGCTTGTTTGTTTTGGGTGAGTGGGTAAACTGAGGCATAGGGAGGCAAAGTGACTTAGTATTTAATACTTCACATAAAATTGTATGTCGACACCATCTTCCTAAAACTTTATTCTAAGAGTCAGATTTTTCTTGAGCTAGTGATAGCCTGAGCATATAAAGACTTGGTTTGTTTGGCGGGGGGGGTGTTTTTCTTTTTTTTCATTCAGTTCCGACTCCCCATAATTATCACCATTCACTGCCTTCCTTGTTCCAATTTTCAGTATCTGTTTCAGTTAGTTCGTGATCCTTGACAGTAGAACAGCTATTCTGGTATTCTGTGGCCTGTAAGAAAGCCTTTGGGTTCATTCAAGGAGGGAAGGGAGGGCACATCTGGGAAAGGGTAGAAAGCATGCTGTTCCCAACCCTCTCCTAGGCTTGTGCTCCCCATTTAGAGACTAATAGGCTGCTTAGACTGTTATCTCCACCTTAAAATAGTTTTGCTCTTTTGGGGGGGTAGAACATGGGAAATGTGGAAGATGGGGAGAGGGATGTATTCTTACTCGACCACCGAAGTATGTTTGGGGAAGGTTGCTGTTGCCTGTCACCTTTGTCTAATCCTGTGTGGTGACTTTCATTCTCGGATTAAAAATTCCTTGTTTCCTGTGAGGCATGTTGTACCAAATTGGGCTTCATAACTCACCTTTGTTTTTTTCCTTCCCTTTCCTTCTTTATCCCCTTTTTTGCTTTCCTCCTCCAGCTGTGCTTCCTGTGTCTTCAGCCTTGAGTGTCACTGCTGCCTTAGGGCAGCCTGAATCTACCCTTCCCCCTCCTTGCTCCCTGGCCCCCCAACAATGCCCTCTGGCAACCCCTAACCAGCCTTCCCCATTCCTTTCTCCCTCTAGTGTTGTCTCAACCCCTTTTGAAGCTCCTTTTCCCCAGTCATCCTCTGGAACAGCCCTGCCTTTGGGAGTTTCCCCTTCCCCCAATGATACCCCAACTTTCCTACCAAACCTGATAGGGCCTCCCATATCTCCAGCTGCCTTAGCTCTGGCCTCTCCCATGATAACTCCAACTGTGAAAGGTGCCCATTCCTCTTCAGCTCCCTTGGCTCTGGTGGCTTTGGCTCCCCACTCAGTTCAGAAGAGCTCTGCTTATCCACTTAACCCTCTTAGTTCACCTCCTTTGATTGCTGTGACTGAGTCAGGGTCAGTGACATCTCTGTCTGCTCCCATTGTTTCCTCAGAACCAAAGACCTCTCCTATCCAAGCTCCCGTGCAAGTAGGCCCTAACCCAAAAGGCACCCCCATCCCTCCAGGTATAGTCAGTGCTGTTCCTTCCCATCTTGGAACTCCCTTGGCCTCTGTTCAGTGTGGAGTAGCCTCATGTCCTCAAATGCCACCCATCACTCCCCCAGCCATCATTCCCCCCCTGTTCAAAGACATCCCTATTTCCTCACAAAACCCTGAAGGCCTCAGCCTAAAGGGACCTCTTAGTTCACCTGCTGCGTTTCCTCTTTCCACCCAGTCTGTATCTGTGGCTCCCACCGTCCCTCCAGTTTTCCTCACTTCTCTAGGCTCTCATCTTGCACCTTTACATCAGAGTTCTCTTGGTTCTCCCTTAGGTCAAACAGGCCTTAATGTTCTGTCAAATTCTAAAGTAGATGCCGTTTCTGCAGATCATTCTCCCGTAGGGGCCTCTTACCCTTCTCAGATTCCTCCCCTTCCTTCCAGAAATGAGGTGGCTCCTGCTGCTGTGGCTGCTTTTCCAGTGGGGGCTTCAGCTGCCCCTCTGGCTCTTTCTGTTGAGAAAGACCCCTCTGCCATCACTGGCCTAGCTTCCTTCAGCCCTTCTGGCTCATCAGATGTAGCTACCTCTTCTCCATTATCTCCTACAGCCTCTCTCATTCTGAAAGGCTCTCCTAATGCCACTCATCATCAGCCTTTGGTGGCCCAAATTCCTTCTCCTCCAGGGAGTCCAAGCTTGAAAGAAGCTCCTGTTTGTTCTGTTGGAACCATCCCATTTGTTATGACTAACCCCTCTACAGTTTCTGCAGCACCTACTACCTTTGAGCTAGCTACTTGTATGTCATCTCCAGTTTCATCCGGCCCCGTAAGTAGTAAGGACTCAGCTTCCCATACTGCCCTGGTTATGGCTCCTGTGGCTCCCAAAGTACTTTCTACTCCTCAAGTAACCCCTCTGGGAATACCAGTCCCTCCTTCTCTGCCAGTCTCTGAGAACCCCAAAAGTCTCCCTGCATCAGCATTGGTAAAGTTACCGACACAAAAAGATACCCAAACTGAACCTCCCTCTCCTACTGGAGCCCCTGTATCACCAGCACAGGCAGGACTCCCTACCAAGAAAGACTCTACTCTAATACCATTGGCCCTGGCAACCCCTAAAAATCCCCCCTCTCCCCAAAGTATATCATCATCTCTGGAGATAGCTCTTTCTCCTGAAGCCACTTTAGCAAAGAAAAGCCTTGTAGAGCCTCCCCCCATAGTTACGCCAGCCAGTACTGCTCCCTCTCCTCTGGGTGTTAACTCCCCAACCTCTATAATCAAGACAGATCCTTGTGCAAGTCCATACCCCACTAGTCTCCTTCTCAAAAGTTCTCTCCCTGCCCCAAACATAGCTACATTTCCTCTGGAACATGCAGAAGTGGCTCCTACAATTACCAAAGGTACCTCCACTTCTGCCACTACAGCCAACCCTTTTCTAGGAGATGTCTCTTTAGCTCATAAAAGCCACCCAGATAAGAAGGGTAGTTCCACTCTTACTATTTTACCTTTGGTTCCTCCAGCCTCTGAAAGTTGCCCTGTAGCTCCAACTGTGACTTTATCCCCCCAGAATGCTTCTGCTTTTCCAGTTGCCATGGCACTAGCCCCTGATATTCCCAAGTCTGAGCTCTTTCCCTCTCTTCCTCCTCAAGGTGCAAAGAAAGCTCACAGTATTTCTCATACTTCTGCATTGGCACCTGTGACTTCCTCTCCTGAAGGGCATCCAACCAAGGACTCTGGTGCTTCTGTTAATGCATCTTCTAAAGGAGCTTACTCAGCTGACTCTCCATCTCCTTTAGGGACTAGTGTGTCTCCTCAAACTAAAAGACGTCCAACCAAGAGGGGTTCAGCTCCTTCTACGACTTTAACTCTTTCTCCTCTTTCAAAAAGTGTTCCTGCTATCCCTGATATTCCTGCTGGAAATCACTCATCCCCTATTTCTCCAGTTGAAGCTTCCTTTCTTCCAGAGGCCAGTCTTTCTTTTCGAGTCCCTAAAGGGTCACTGGCCAAGAAGCATTCCCCCACTCCATCCCCCAAAGAGACCCCAGATACCCCATCGCCCAAAGAGGCCTTCACTCCCTTCACTCCAGCTGTGGTTCCTTCTTCCACCAAAGGAGCCCCAGCAACTTCATCCCCCAAAAAGTCGCAAGCAGCTCCAGCCCCCAGAAGAGCCCCAGCTACTCCATCTCCCAAAGGGACCCCCACTGCCCCAGCTGTGGCTCCTCCCTCCCCCAAAGGGGGCCAAGCAACCCCATCCCCTAAAGAGACCTCTACTCCCCCAGCTATGACTCCTTCCTCCCCCAAAAAGTCCCCAGCTACCCAGCCTCCCAGAGGGGCCCCCACCACCCAAGCTGTGCCTCTCCCCTCCCCCAAAGAGTCCCCAGCTACCCAGCCTCCCAAAAGAGCCCCAACTACTCCATCTCTCAAAGGGGCCCCCACTGCCCCAGCTGTGGCTCCTCCCTCCCCCAAAGGGGGCACAGCAACCCCATCCCCTAAAGAGACCTCCACTCCCCTGGCTATGACTCCTTCCTCCCCCAAAGAGGCCCCAGCTACCCAACCTTGCAGTGGGGCCCCCACCTCCCAAGCTGTGCCTCCTCCCTCTCCCAAAGAGTCTCAAGCAGCTCCAACCCCCAAAAGAGCCCCAGCTACTCCCTCTCCCAAAGGGGGCCCAGCAACCCCATCCCCTAAAGAGACCTCCACTCCCCTGGCTATGACTCCTTCCTCCCACAAAGAGGCCCCAGCTACCCAACCTTGCAGTGGGGCCCCCACCTCCCAAGCTGTGCCTCCTCCCTCTCTCAAAGAGTCTCAAGCAGCTCCAGCCCCCAAAAGAGCCCCAGCTACTCCCTCTCCCAAAGGGGGCCCAGCAACTCCATCCCCTAAAGAGACCTCCACTCCCCCGGCTATGACTCCTTCCTCCCCCAAAGAGGCCCCAGCTACCCAATCTCCCAAAGGGGGCCCAGCAACCCCATCCCCTAAAGAGACCTCCACTCCTCCAGCTACGACTCCTTCCTCCCCCAAAGAGTCCCTAGCTACCCAATCTCCCAAAAGAGCCCTAGCTACTCCATCTCCCAAAGGGTCCCCCACTGCCCCAGCTGTGGCTCCTCCTTCCCCCAAAGGGGGCCCAGCAACCCCATCCCCTAAAGAGACCTCCACTCCCCCGGCTATGACTCCTTCCTCCCCCAAAGAGTCCCCAGCTACCCAACCTCCCAAAGGAGCCTCCACCCCCCAAGCTATGGCCCTTTCCTCTCCCAAAGAGTCCCAAGCAACTCCAGCCCCCAAAAGAGCCCCAGCTACTCCCTCTCCCAAAGGGGGCTCAGCAACCCCATCCCTTAAAGAGACCTCCACTCCCCCAGCTATGACTCCTTCCTCCCCCAAAGAGGCCCCAGCTACCCAATCTCCCAAAGGGGGCCCAGCAACCCCATCCCCTAAAGAGACCTCCACTCCTCCAGCTATGACTCCTTCCTCCCCCAAAGAGGCCCCAGCTACCCAATCTCCCAAAAGAGCCCCAGCTACTCCATCTCCCAAAGGGGGCTCAGCAACCCCATCCCTTAAAGAGACCTCCACTCCCCCAGCTATGACTCCTTCCTCCCCCAAAGAGTCCCCAGCTACCCAACCTCCCAAAGGAGCCTCCACAAGCCAAGCTATGGCTCCTTCCTCTCCCAAAGAGTCCCAAGCAACTCCAGCCCCCAAAAGAGCCCCAGGTACCCCACTGCCCAAAGAGGCCTCCACTGCCCCAGCTGTGGCTCCTCCCTCCCCCAAAAAGTCCCAAGCAACTCCAACCCACAAAAGAGCTCCAGCAACTCCATCCCCCAAAGGGGGCCAAGCAACCCCATCCCCTAAAGAGACTTCCACTCCCCCAGCTGTGGCTCCTTCCTCCCCCAAAGAGTCCCCAGCTACCCCACCTCCTAAAGGGGCCTCCACTGCCCCAGCTGTGGCTCCTCTGTCCCCCAAAAGGGGCCCAGCAACCCCTAAAGAGACTTCCACTCCTCCAGCTGTGGCTCCTCCCTCCCCCAAAGAGTCCCCAGCTACCCAACCTCCTAAAGGGGCCCTCACTCCCCCAGCAGTGACTCCTTCCTCAAAAAAATCCCCAGCTGCCCCATCTATCAAAGGGTCCCTTACTCCCTCAGCTGTGACTCCTTCCTCCCACAAAGAGTCTCTGGCAACTCCAGCCCCCAAAGGGGCCCCAGCAGCCCCATCCCCCAAGGGGGCCTCCACTCCCCCAGCTGTGACTCCTTCCTCTCCCAAAGAGTCTCTGTCAACCCCAGCCCCCAAAGGGACCTCAGCAACTCCATCCTCCAAAAGAACCCCAGGAGGAACCCCATCCTCCAAAGGAGCCTCGGCAACTCCATCCCCCAAGAGAGCCCCAGCTACCCCATCCAGAGGTGCCCCCACTCCTTCATCTGAGATTCCTCCCTCCCCCAAAGAGGCCCCTACTTCTCCAGTTTCAGTCACATGTCCCTTGGGGTCCATTGCCCCTCAGGCTTTTAAAGGCCTACCAGTAAAGAAAGGCTCCACAGCTCTCAAAGCAGGACTTGTTGCCCCAGCCCCAGAAAGTGCACCAGTTGTCACAGCTCCCTCTGAGAAAGGTCCACTGGCCAAGAAGAGTTCTGCTACTTCACCTCCTCTGTGCCCAGATCCTTCAGCTAAGAATGGTACTAAAGGACCCCTTTCTACAATGGGTCCAGCCCCGCTGACAGTCTCTGCTCAGAAAGTCTCTTCAAAGACTCCCAAAGCCCTCTCTGTTTCTCCATTAAAAAGCAAAGATTCTTTTCATTCCCCAAAGAGCCCTTTGACTCTTCCTCTTGAGTCTGTGACATCTACTCCTCTAGCAACAATTTCCTCTGAGAAGGTCCTTCCTAAAGCTGGATCAGCATCTATCCCTCCAGCACCCACCCCATCAGTCTCTCTGCCTCTCACTCCCTCCCCAGTTCCCCCTCTGCTTCCTAAACAGCAGTTTCTGCCGTCCTCACCTGGGCTGGTGCTGGAATCACCCTGTAAGCCCTCAGCCCCTGCTGATGAGGATGAGCTGCCGCCTCTGATTCCCCCGGAACCAATCTCGGGGGGAGTGCCTTTCCAGTCGGTCCTCGTCAACATGCCCACCCCCAAACCTGCTGGGATCCCTGCCCCAACCCCCTCTGCCAAGCAGCCTGTTCTGAAGAACAACAAGGGTATTTGCCTTGGTTTGCTGTGTGCATGGTGTGTCGCCCACACCCCTCCTGGGGCTACCCACCAATACTAACCCTAGGATGCGCCGCTTTCTCCAGTATATCTGCTTGTGTTTGGACATAGAACATAGAATGATAATTTTAAATGCAAAAGTTCTAGGAATGTGAAACAATCTTGGTTTTCATCACCTCAGATAGTCTGTTCTGTATCATCTTGTATAATATGGTTCAAGCTAACCCTGGATCTGCCATCTTTTTTACCTGAGTGATCTGACATTGAAAACCAAGACCTATTAGACCTTTTAATTTGCTCTAATTTCTACCACATAACTAACCTTGTCCCTGGGCCTGGGATTTGCTAAAATGTTGGGAAATATGGAACTATTTGAATTTCTTTTCACGTGTTAGATTTAGTAATGACCAGTGCCCAAGGGACTCCCTTTTCAAGACTTTTTTTCCTAGCCTGAGAATGGTACAGGTGTATGATTTTTTTCTCTTAGTAGTCTTTATTGATGCTTGGCCTTTTGGTTGAGGTAAACTTAAAATATGTGAATTATATTTGGAAGAAATGGGAGAGGTCACAGGACAGGCTCTAACAGAGATGACTGTTAGAACTATAGATTGGCAATCATTGAGAATCTTCAGGCCATGTTGATGAAACCAAATTGCTAGGGTAAGTGGTTTGAAAACAAGGCTAAATGTGTGTACACAACTGCTTCTGGCCTTCCCCAACTTAGTATAAAGCATGAGGGTAGTGTCCTCCCTGGTCTTCCTCCACAATGTGATCTTACTGTTTTTTCACTTAAATGTATCTGGAGATCCCTTGTCTCCATAACCTTTTAGGGATGGGTGGGCTATCAGATAGAATTTGGAGTTAACGTAGGTCATTGGTGTTGGCCTGTGCCAAGTGAAGACCTTGAGAGAAAGGAAGCAGTTACTGTTTATAAATTGCTTGGCTGTAACTAGTAATTACCTCTTTATTTCTGGGGCTGGGTCTTTAATGGATGTGTACACACTAGTTTATGGCTGAGGAGGCTGTCAGGCTGGCTTCATACAAGTCAGTTGGTTTGCATTTAATTTTGTGAGGTCTAACATAAGCCAGGCAGGCTATGGTGAGGTGCCTCCTCCCTATAATCTACTGTAAAATTTTAAAGTTATTTGTCATCTCAGGGTCTGGAACAGAATCTGACAGTGATGAATCAGTACCAGAGCTTGAGGAACAGGATTCCACACAGGCAACCACACAACAGGCCCAGGTGGGTGTTCTGTTCTCTTACTTGCTGGTCAGAGTACTTGAGTCAAGGAAGCATTGAAGAACAAGGGTTGATCAGAGAAGCTGACTTCAGTACTTGGAAATGTGAACCTTCATAAAGGGAAAACCTTATGGGGATTATGATATCTAGGCCTTATATTCCAGTTTACTCATAGCTGTTTTATCTCCTTAGCTGGCAGCAGCTGCTGAAATCGATGAAGAACCAGTCAGTAAAGCAAAACAGAGCCGGAGTGAAAAGAAGGCACGGAAGGTAAGATTTTAAGTTATAAAAAAGGATTAAAGGTTCTGATGAAGCAGCTTTAGAGAGGGGGAACTGTAGTGGTAGAATCATATTTAAAGTGATAGAAATTACTATAGCAAAAAAAAACAGGAGTCCTGGAAACCAATTCTGTATTATCTAAAGTTAGCCTAGGGGGCACCTGGGTGGCTCAGTTATGGAGCATCTGCCTTCGGCTCGGGTCATGATCCCAGGGTCCTGGGATCGAGCCCCGCATCAGGCTTCCTGCTCAGCGGGAAGCCTGCTTCTCCCTCTCCCACTCCCCCTGCTTGTGTTCCCTCTCTCACTGTGTCTCTGTCAAATAAATAAATAAAATCTTGAAAAATAATAATAAAGTTAGCCTAGGAAAAGGCTTTCTTTATTTTGTTACTTTTTTATTTAAATTCAATTAATTAACATATAATGTATTATTGGTTTCAGAGGTAGAGGTCAGTAATTCATCAGTCTTTTTTTAAGATTTTATCTCTTTGAGAGAGAAAGAGAGAGCACAAGCAGGGAGGAGGGTCAGAGGGAGAGGGAGAAGCAGACTCCCTGCTGAGCAGGGAGCCTGATGCAGGGCTCGATCCTGTCCTGGGATCACAACCTGAGCCGAAGGCAGACGCCCAACCAACTAAGCCATCCAGGCACCCCAATTCATCAGTCTTCTATAATACCCAGTGCTCATTACATCATATGCCCTCCTTAATGTCCATCACCCAGTTAACCCATTCCCCTAACCGCCCCCCCCCCCCCCGCCAGCAACCCTCAGTTAAGGCTTTGCTTTGGATATAGTTATTACTATGTTCTTTACTTCCTAAAGCTACTTCTTTTTTTAAGATGTTATGTATTTATTTGCGTGAGAGAGAGAATGCCTGCAGGGGGAGGGGTAGAGGGAGAAGCAGACTCCCTGCTAAGTGCAGAGTCTGATGTGGGGCTCAGTCTCAATCTCACAACCCTGAGATACGACCTGAGCCGAAATCAAGAGTTGGACATTCAACCAGCTGAGCCACTCAGGTTCCCCTCTGAAGCTGCTTCTAGAGAAGTTGAAAACCTGATGTTCTTTTCTATTTCTTAGGCTATGTCCAAACTGGGTCTTCGACAGGTTACAGGTGTTACAAGAGTCACTATCCGGAAATCTAAGAATATCCTCTTTGTCATCACAAAACCAGATGTCTACAAGAGCCCAGCTTCAGATACCTACATAGTTTTTGGGGAAGCCAAG